AAAAATTCTGGAATATAATTGGTAGAGACCTCTGTGAAGTTTTTGTCTATTCTATTCGTGATGGTCACAGTTGTCTTCCACATTCTTGCACAAGGGCCGTTGTGACTTTACTGCCTAAAAAGGAGGGACATCACAAGTTTTAAAAAAAAACTGGCGGCCTGTTAGCCTCCTTTGCAGTGATTATAAGATCTTCACGAAAATACTGTCGCTCCGTCTTCGATCTGTCATTGGTTCCACCATTCATCCTGATCAGAGCTGCAGTATCCCAAATCGTCACATTCACGACAACAATCTACTGCGAAACTCTCAATTACTGTATCGCCACAAACACTCCATTGGGTATTGAAGCGCTTGACCAGGAAACAACTTTTGACAGAATCAACCACACTTACTTGTTCAAGACATTATGTGCATTTGGGTTTGGACAAAATTTCATTCAGTGTATTTGTCTTTTGTACAAAAATGCTCAATCCCATGTCAGTGAACAGCGCCCTCACACCACCTATTATGTTGTCTAGAAGCATTCGTCAAGGATGCTCTCTATCCACACTTTTATATGGTCTCATGCCACTAATCAACCAATGGCTGCTCAATTTAAATGCCTTGCAAGAACCAATGAAATTGTTTAATTTTTTTTTCTCAGGTGCTCCCTGTTTGAGGGCGTAATCACCTGGGTCAAAGGTGAGACCAACATGTGGTCTTTTGTTTACTACTTAGCGGCTGTGTACCTGTGGGTTTATTCTGTGTGTATTTGGCTGTTCTAATCTTGGTGTTTTTCCAGTGATTTCTCTTGGTGCAATCTTGTTTACCTGAGATTTGCAAGAGTTTGAGCTGGCCAACATGTTAGTTTTTTTCATATGGTTGATTACTGGCATGTTGATTTCCTATTTTTGAGCCATGTTTTCAACTTTCTTCATCATTTTCATATAGCAATCTCGTCATATGTTAACATTGTCGTCTATGGAAATTCAATTAGTGGTATGAGCCCTATATGTCATTTCCATAGAACCGTTATTCCATAAATCAGGAAGAATAAAAAACATCACAAGACGGTATTGAAATCCCCCAGAGTAACGGACTACACAGCAAACTGACAGCATATGCTGACGACATAGAAATATTTATTACACGTAAACAAGAAATATATGAGAGCACATCCAATTCCAAAATCAACTTTCAAAAGTCAGAAGGGCTGTTGGTTGGCAGCTGGCGAAACATTAACAGCTCGCCCTTGGGTATTAAGTGGACCAGTACGGGCTTAAAACTGTTGGGTGTGTATTTGGGGAACACCAAGACATTCATAAACAAAAACTGGACTGAAACAAAAAAGCAAAAAGTTGAAAACAAGATGAAGTTTTGGACGCATTTTGCTCCTGCTATGTCTTACAGAGGGCGTGCACATGTAATAAACAATTTGCTTTCATCAGTTATGTTATCGCTTTTATAGTTTGTCCCATCCCCTGATATTGTTTCCTCGCTCCAAATTGACATTGACAGTATGCGCCTTGAGTATGTGCAGTGGTATTTATACTACGATTATGATCATTTAAATTAGCTGACTATTTTTTCAATCCAGCCATTAAGCTGTCGTATGGCAAACACTTATAATGCACCACACGCAACACTGAATTTCATCATCTTCCTGCATTTTACTCTGACTTGCTACGTCAATAAGTCAATATACACTCCAGACGCATACTTGACCTTAGTTTGAATGTTGTACATGATGGTATTTCTGGTAAATGGAAAGCAACCATAAATACAAAATTAAAAGACAACTTAATAAATCAATTTTATCTAGTCACCCCAGTTTTCGGCTACATTTCTCAGATGAGCTCAGTTTTCCGCTATACAAAATAAAAAAAAAGGCGCTACATACAAATAAGTCGTAGCGGTTATGAACAAAACTCCAGTCGTCATCCAGACAGACTTGACACTGTGTGGCGTGTTCTACTGGTCTTTCCTTCAGATATTAAACCCAATTTCAAAGGGTGTTCTACTGCTCTCATCACAAAACGTGAGGAAGACTTGCAATGGCGTGTAATGCATGGTGCATACACTACTGGTGGTTTTCTTGCTGGGCAAATTTTGCCGATTCTGAAAACTGTCTACTTTGAGTGACCTGGATTCTCTCGTTCACATTTTTATTGAATGTCCGGCGATTGGCACCCTCTACTTACAACCTGGTTTGACGGTTCCTCCTCGGTGGTTCGTTAATTTGCCACCTCACCATCCACGTAGATTTTTCTCTCGTCAGTGTGAGAGTATTTTTTTTTATCTTCATCACTGCAAAGGTTGCTATCCCTATCTCCCGGTGGAATACACAGGAGGGAGGTTCTTTGGTGGATCCGTTGGAAATTCTCAAAACTCGCATCACCAGCAGAATTAAATCTGAGTATCAGTACTTCAAAATTGTTAAACAGGAGACAGGTTCGAATACATTTGGACCACAAATGACACTCTCAGTTTCTTGGAAAATGGAAAATTACAAATCCATTTTGAACTTGAATTCACACTGTTATGATTCAGTGGTCGTTTTTACGTTTCTGTTATTCAAATTTGGTTAAATCTTGTTCTTGTTGCTTCCTGTCTGTGTTTACTTCAATACATCTCATTCAATGCCGTTGTTTGTATGTAATTACACAACACGTTTTAATTTGCCTAGAATTTGGCAGGGGGATAGTAACCTCTTACAGTGAGAACCAGTGCGACTGGCCTTCCGGCAGGGGTTCTAAGAATTGTTTTTTTACATGTTCAATGAATGTTTGGGTTTTTGTTTTATTTTCCCTTGAATAAAAATCACTATACCATTGGGAACTTCTTAATTTTATAGCGAATTGCTGTATTTTGGTTTTGATTCCAAATTTAAAGAGACAAATTTTCCGTTATTTCTTTTTAAATTAATAACTTGAGCATCTTATGTTCATTATAGAAGAATATAGAAGCCCCCCCTTCACAATGACCAATTTCAATCTGAAATGGTAAATAGGAATTATATATTTTCATCGTTTAATTTTAGACTTTGTAATTTTACGCCGTCGTCCAACTGTTTCACTGCTATATAAAACTTTTTCGCCTCACGCGAAATAGTCCCTTTCATCCAAACTAAAATTAGTTATTCTTCGGCATTTATTACTTAGAAACTGTCATCAATGGTAGAACTAACACTACGCTTCGTAGAGGTTTATGTTCGCTCAATATCATCGGCCACATAGTTAAACGTATACGTGAAACCATGCTTTCTGCAGCCCGTGACACGCATTATAACATAATAAAATAATCTTTCAACAATTCTATAAATACGGTATAATTCTGTAATGAATATTCATATACTCTGAAAATAGAATCAGATCTGTTTGACGACGTGTCATGGATTCGATCCAGAGATATAAGGGATACACTCTTTGTCCGTACACCGATACCTCAAAACTGGAGAATGGAGTTATGGAAAGATTTTTCCGTCAAGATGACATCATTGTGCAAGGGTTTCCCAAGTCTGGTAACACCTGGATGATATTTTTACTACAAGAGTTATATCCTGATTTGAATGTGTTTCAGCACGGTGACAAGAAAGTGCCTCCAATGCTAGAGTGGCTCACTGCCAATCCTAGATTTTTCGATGATTTCGACACGCCTATAACAAGAGCAGTGAAATCCTTTCTGATACACGAAAATGTTACACGAGAAGGTCATCTTAAAAATTTCATAGACGGGATCCTTCCAGGTACACCTTGGGTGAACCACGTAGCTGGCTGGAGGAAACACAGTGATGATGAGAACGTGTTTTACGTCACTTACGAAGACATGGTAAAAGAAACCAAGACCACTGTCCGCGCGATAACGGAGTTCCTGGGACGCTCTCTTCCGGACTCACAGTTAGAAAATGCTATAGTTAACACTTCTATTGACAATTTACGTAATAGTCCAACGTCTGCGTTTAGAATCGATATTGACGAGTCATTTATGCCAAATTATGTTGCTGGCTATTTTAGGAAGGGGAAAGTTGGCGACTGGAAGAACCATTTCACCGTGGCTGAAAATGAGATGTTTGAAGATGTCATAGTGAAGAAGTTACAAGAAAAGAGAATAGAATTTGTGTATAAATTGTAAAATAATAATGACGATATGACGAGAAACCCTACAGTATGTCGATCTCAAGGTATCGTTATTTGATCTATGTAGTTCAACATGGCGGTACTCCCATGATGCATCTCTCTAATGATGCACAACTCTTATTTCTAGAGGAGGATTTGATTTGTCATAATGGACATGTCTTGTCTCAATACTAGTATATAACAATCATTCCGATAGATCAAATAAATCAAAGCAATTAATTATACAATGATATGCACCTTGCGCTTTAAATAGAACATTATTGTAGTACTAACATTACACTTTACTAAATCTTTTCTATATCATCAGGTATGTCGACAGCATCAACATTTTTTTCTCTAAACTAATTCCATACTGATCTTGCATGTACACAAAT